ACAGGAATTTTATAAAGAATTTAATTTTTTTATAGTAATTTTTCCAATGTTTATAATAAATTATTATTGTTTATAACAATATTACGCGATTGCCTATAGTTTTCTTGTATACCTAGTCCAATTACCTGTAAGACAAAAAAAATCATAGTGATATCCTTATCCTGTCTCGAGATTTACGATTTTAATACAAAAAAATGCGAATTCGTCCACTGTGTATTGGTAATAGGTTGCTAATTAATATCTTAATCAATTCTGTCATAACTACAGCTTCATATTCAAGTGAACAGAAGTAATTATTTTCCTTTTCAATTCACATCGTTTGTACATCATTTATTTTACTGCATGGACTTTGCGTTTGTAATACGAATATTTTATTTTAAAATATTGTCAACAACTGGGTTTTATTAATAATGATTGAAAACTTTTGTTTTGTTTCACAATTTATTTTTTACTCTTAGTTAGATTATTAGCTGTTTCAGCAGTTACGCCATTATCAAAGGTTCACATACACTGAATATAAATAAGCGGTATAATCGACAATGTATGCATATAAAATTGATAAGGCAAATATTGATAAATTATTTCTAGCGAACGGTAAGATGAAGAATATCAATTTAATAAGCGTCAAATTAAATATAGTTACTAATGGCATTATCTTTTATCGGTGAAAGAGAAAAATTGAATTGATTGTTAGTTATAAATTTGTTTTGTCTCTGTGCTTTTATAATCTCTATTATTTCTAATAAATTTAACTTGAGGCTTTTAGGTGCGTTGTGTAATAAGTTTATATTATTTAAATCTGGGAAACGTGCATGTGAGCTACAATGTTCACTGAAACCAGTCAAGCCCTTATTATTGTAAATAGATTCAACATTGCTCATCAATAAGTGTAGACAGGGTACGCCTCATTTTTCTTGTGTTCATAGCGTCACAATCTAACTATTTAATTAAATATACCCCACTTCCTCCGAAATGCCAAATTTGTCATTGTTATTAACTAAAATGGTTTTGAGATTCTGTTTATTGACTAAAATTGAATTTATTTTGTGTCTTATTATTAATTTACCAATTTTCTCTGAAACTACCCAAATTTAACATGTTGAATTTTTGGTTTTCTGGCAATATCGGATAAAAGTTTTCTTTGCGTATTTTTCTAATTAGACTATCTTTAATAGTTTCGTCGTATCCATTATTTGTTGCTAGGAATTTTAATAATTTTACCTCTCTGTCGTAGTGATCTTTTCGTAAAGGACAATAATCTATGTATAAAAGAATCATAAGTACTCATTTTAACTTGGATAGACTGTTTTGAATCATGTGGCACTAGGATGTCAGTAAAACTTGGTTTTCTATAAATTTCACATACTAATTTATCATTGTTTTGTGTTATTAGAAGTAACTAGAAAGTTCAGACTAGTATTATTTTATATTTCAATTGTAAAGTTAATACTGAGAACAAGGATAGTTATGTAATTAAGAACATTATTTCTTAGTAATAGTTTTTATTGAAATGTGAAAGTTGCAAAAAGTAATTCATTTATTTTGATTATATTTTCAAATCGTTAGATCTTTTTCAGTTAAAAAATTTTAATCGGTACATTTACAAGTTATAAATTTGATCGATTATAAGTAAGTTAATTACAATAAGATACACTTGTTTAAAAAAAATTTGCAATATACTTAACCTATACATGGGCGTTACGACTGTCAGTCTTACATTACATCTTATTTTTTGTTTACAACGAGCATAAATTTGAATTTTTTTGAAACTAAAACGTATACAATAATTTTAATACATAGTAACGATTCACAAAGTGTTTACTTGTATGATCCGTAAGTTCCAGTTGTATTATTATTATGATTATTTTTTTTTAGACAATTTTCAGTTTGAATGACACATTGTCATAAGAAAATTAAAGTGTTAATTTAAAAATACTTTTTCTAGATCAATATTTTCTAAAAAAAAAAGTACTATAATTAATGAAGGAGATATTCGAAAATTACGTGTAATTTTATTCCGCGTCTCAACTTAAATTAAATAAAGTTTTTGAATAAAGAAAGACAACCAATTTTTTAAATTAAGAGATCAGATATAAGGACTGAAAAGAATTATATTCAATTTTATTTTAATTGAAAAATCGAATTCTCTTTTTTGTATACAGATGTACTGTGTGTAAACTCTCATTGGCTGCATGATCTCTGATCTAAGCTTCCAGCTTATTTTGTAATTTGCGACAGTTTTTAGGGCTTTAGGCTTAGTATCACTACGTGCGTGTGTTTACTAAAATCGAACACTTGCCCTATTAGTTAAGTATATGTACTGAGCGCGCGGTGGCTCAGTCGGCTAGGTCGTGGATTGGCACGCGGGAGACCGTGGTTTGATTCTCGGCCATAGTGCGACTTTTTCGGGCAAGTACCTCTGTGACATTCATATGTGCTTTTTCACCACGCAATGCTCCTCGAGGAGGGTTTAGGCGACCTTCTCGCAGCAAAAATTGCCTAATTCCCCCTACCCCCCTCCCTGTAATGAGGGGCCTCCCATCCCTCTTTCCTTCCTTCTCCCAAGTGCTAAGTGCCCATATCAAAGGAGCCGAACGTAAAGCACTATAATATATAAAAAAAAAAAAAAGTATATGTACTTATACCAACATACAACCTGACATATAATACATGCAATACACGGAAATCATGTTTTTCGAATACTCTTTTAATTAGTGAGCTTGACTTTCAAAAATATTCTAACCGTACTATAAAAACTACTTTTTTACTTATTATGGTGAAATGATAACATTAGGTAAAAAATTTGTTACGTTTATGCTTTACGTCAGGGTTGTCTTGAATCAATTCAATTTCTTTTAGTTAAAGGTAAATTAAATATAAAACTTATATTGCAATAAGTATTCATAAGAATAAGTGGACAGTTTAAAATAAAGTTTATAGTTTATAATGTAAATATATGAAAAACCTATACCTAAAGGCCTGGGAATCATATTCCAAACTGCACGAAATCCGTTACCCTGAATACTGCTATCACTGTGAAAATGGAGCCAAAGATATCTTGAGCTTGACGTGATTTCTGGAAACGGGAAAGCTCGGCAAAATTTACCGATAAGTCTTGAATAACCGTATTTTCCATCTCGAACTTCTAAATAGTCATAAGAGCACTTTTCCTGATCCTCAAGTTCAAAATTGTCTCGGAATTCGACTTTCAGCACCATACCAGGATCAGCTGGAATGTAAAATATATTTTCATCGTAAGTAATGTAAAAACATCTGTACTTATGATTTGTAAACATACTGTAATTTTATGAACTCTGAATCCATACAATTATATTATTCATATTAATACTATTAAGTACCTAACCTAGAAAAAAACAGGCTTAGTCAACGTTACAAAACTTAAAACACCCTTATAAGGTTGCGCCCCCATTTTGTAATTTTATGTTTGCAGAATAATAAGCTCATAATTTCATGTAAAGGACATGCGAGATACGTTCACATCCTGAAAATTATATAGGGTATGATCAATCAGCGAGAAGCAAGATAAGTAGAAGGTAGTGATGTTACTATATTCGTTCAAGTATAGCCTCTAAACTCGTATTGCGAATTTTATTTGAGGAGCTAACAATCATGACATAGGGTGGGCCATACAATAGATTCAACGGCTTGCAATGGAGGGGTGTTTGGAAAATTCGTAAAAACAATTGCCTCTACTTTTCTTAAAATTCTGTAATTCCTTTTACCTATACGTCATATTTTTTGGGTCTGTTATATTATTTATCTTTTACACAAGGTTTAAGTTTGACAAAAAATAAGGATACTTGTAATCTTTACTAGAACGAAGCTGTAATCATGAAACCTTATTTTTTTTATAAGCATGATTCACGTGTCTTCAAATTTAATGACTAAAAGATATTATACAATCAGTCTTCTAACTAAAGTAACTTTTTGATTTATCTGTATTATGTGTAATTTGTATAGGACGATAAACAAAATTTTTTCAGGCAATTAAAAACCATAGGTAGCATTTACTGCAAGTGCATTCATATGAATCGTATACCGCAAGCTCCTCTCTCTCGAAAATGACAGAAATTTTATCATATCCCCTTTTATCCGAGCAATGAAGCGATCCCATTTAACGAACCCAGCCCGTCTCCTCCGAGAATCAGAATTATCAACTCGGTCAAGTCATAAATGAAGCCGTCCTCCGTTCTTCCGTTCTTCGCTTTCTTCGCTCTCCAGTAAAGGTTACCGCCCTAATACGTGCCTGCCTACCTCATTATCGCTTTGCAGTCACTGCGGGGATGAGTGCTAGGGGTAAATGACCCAATTACTGAGCACTGAAATTTTTGAGTGTACTAAATTTCTCATTTCTCAATGTTTTTCAATGTAAATTGAACCAGTTTTACTTTGAATTGAACGTTATTAATGTCCATACGTGTTACAATATCCAAGCACCCAAATTTTTCAGTCTGTTTTTCTTATTTTCAGTTACCGTCGACTGCGCAGTAATTAAATAGCAGTAAGTAAATTGTTAATGGTTTTTTGGACTTCCTTGATCAGCAAACATACTTTTCTATTTTCTCCATGTGAGAAAGAAAGTTATTTTTTAAGTCACGGTAGGGAAAAAATTGTACATACACCTGTGGTGCAAGTAAATAATTATTTATTATATTATATGTTCCGGATTTATTGTGTGAAATAATGTGCATGCTATTTAGGGCAATCTTTATGTGTATTTACGTTAAAAACATGTATCTTTTTTATATAACAGCCAAAATTACACTTCAGTGGACTTAGTGTTTTTAATAACTAAATTAAGTAGGTTCTAAGATTATTAGGCTACTTCAGCATACGAAAAGAAGATGAAATATTAAAAATGAAATAGCAATTTCCTACATGGCATTTTATACTGCTACAATTTGGCCACTATATTTTATAACTAATAACAAATGTAAAACAAAAAAAAATTTACCTCAATTTCTTCTACAGTGAAAAATTATAAAAAAAAGATTAGAAAATGAGTTTTGTAAGTTTCACTGTAAAAATGCTCTTATTGTAACAAAAAAATGAATGCAAGAACCAACAAAATGCAATAATTTAATTTTTTAAATTTTACCCAAGGCATGACTGCTACACTTTTTATCTGAGCAAAAAGTTTAAACATATTCGTATGAGTTTAAAAAATGGTTTTGATTGATTAATATTAACACAATTACATTCAGTTATTAAATTCAGACTATAGCAGTCACATTTGAAATATAATCGTCTGTTCTAAAACGTAAAACAACACGATCTACAATTTCTACGACTACACATACATCTATAACAGAATTGTAGCAAAAGAATTGATTTTTTGATGTGTTAAAATATTTTTTTTTAATTTTTAGAGCATTCCACAAGTTAAAAAAAAATACATAATATTAATAATTTGTATTTTTTGAAGATCTACAAACTTAATATTTACAACTTTGTGTTATATCAACCTTATTGGCCAGGTGCATGTCATGCAGCGCCACTCTTGTTGTCAACATCATGCAACCGCGGGTACCCACATTATACGTCAACAGCATACACCGATGCACACTTTTAGTAATAATCAATTAATTAGCAAAAAATTAGTATATTTATTCATCTGTTAATGGATGTTATTAAAAACAGGCTTTAGAAATATCACACACTTGATTTGTTTTAACTCTGAAGCTTTAAAAAGAGGTAAACAGTTGGTTAAAAGTAGTCATGAGTGCGATGTTACAGAATTTCATAGTGATGGAGTTAGCAATTTGACAAGTGCCGTCGTAATAAGGCAGACCTCGGTTACTTCAGCTCCCTACAAAGTTAACCTGCATGTACATTTTATTCAGATTATTTTGAAAATTGTCTAAGTTGCAATGCACATGAAAATTACCTTTATTTATAGTTGAATAATCATCGAAATTTGTGTAATTTTACTCCATTTGTCTTTGCGCTACTGTTACACTGAACAACACAGCACTTTCTTACACCCATATTTTATAAACGTTAAAATGATAGAAATCACAACGATCATGTCTTATTTCGCGTACTTATCTTTCTTTTTGCCGTCTGCTTCTGAGAGCGTGCTCTGGATCGAAAACTAACGAGGCTTCATTAATACATTGTTACATTTAAACATTTTACAACCGTTCTTGGCACCACATAGTTTATTTTTTTTACATTTGTGTAACTGCAATTTCATAATATCGATACTATTTATGCATGTGTGATGATAACATCTGTAAATTTGACGAAATACTGTTTTCTTTCCTTAATTAAGCAAAAATGACAGTTATTTGGTACCCCAGGTTTCCTGTTTTCGCCACTACGCACGCTGGCGTCGACTCATCTATCCCCTCCCATCACTTGCACCTGGCCAATACTGTGATCGATAACAATTTTTTAAAAGTGTCTTGAAATGTTCGTGACCTTTTAGACTATAAGGATTGTAATTTACATGGAAGTGTACAATACAAAAAAGTTGTATTTCAATGAGATATACATTTTTTTTCGACTATAGACGCACCTTAAATAAAACTTTTAAAAGTATTTGGAAATGATAGTTTTCCTACGAGTTTGAAAAGTCTCTGTTTGCGAACCGAGAGGTTTGCGGCCTGAGCCGAAGGCGAGGGACGTAACGAGGTTCGTAAAGGAGACTTTTCGAACGAGTTCCGGAAAACTGCTTTTTCGCCCGAGGAAGTACCAGCCTCCCAAAACCACCCGAGGGCGAAAAATGTATTTTTCTAGATCTACAACTTTCTTGTTGACATCGAAATATTCAATTCTTTGAGTTTTCAAAATAAAAGTAGCTAAAAAACAGATTTTTACAACCTGTAAGGTTTAATTTTTTGACTTAGAGTCAATAGAAGGGCAGGAAAACTTTTTTTTTTGGGTCTTTATAAGTAGTCATAATTTTTATTGTTTTGCGATCTAGACTTTTTCTTCACTGGATATGGACCTTCTATATATAGATAAAAAGTTACATGCAAAAAACTGATTTCAGAGTTACACAATCTTGGGGCTCGTAAAATTTTTCCCTTCAACGAAATTTTCTAGATTTGAAAGTTTCAGGTTGTAGTATGAAAATAAAGTTACAAACCAAGTTTAAGCCCAATCGGAAGTCAGCCTTTCGATATCGAAATTGAGGTAGTTGATTTCCATGTCTTCAAAAGTGGTAGTTACACTTTTTGCTCCAACAAAAATATAAGGCACTTCTTTGAAGCAATCGTGCTTAAATATGACAAAATTAAAAAGAAAACAAGAAATACGTGATAATGTATAAGAATTTGAATGTATTTCCACGAAACACTTTCATATTTATTGTAATAATAAAGATTTCGGAACTAATTTTTTTTGTCACACAAGTGCTATTTTCACTAAAAAGCTGTCGCAAGGTCGAAATGTCCAAGACTTTTTGAGAGCCCCGTTAGTGTGGCGTGTATTTCAAAAAACTATTTTTTTCCCAAACTGGCACAGTTAAAGTCCAAAAGCAATAATAAAACAAGTAAACAATGGCTGAGACAGTAATGAAATACACAAGTTTATATGATGAACAAGTTTACAATACTGAGACATTTCGAAATATATTATCTTACATGTCTTTTACTATTTGTAATTTAAGAATTCTACGACACTTAAATTAAATTTTACATCATTTAAACTGTATTAAGAGTTTAAATGAAGTTTCTATAAAAACATGAATTAAAAATATTGGAGTTTTGACACATTAAAAAGTAGCATAATCTAGAGGATTTGCTACTGCCCTATCGAGTGGCGTGTACCTATAATATACAATTTTTTTTCATTTCCAGCGGGAAGTGGTTAAGTGACTAAAGATATTTTTCATTATATAACTATTTTTGAAATAAGTCAGCAACAATTTAAATGTTTTTGTTTATTGCTTAATCATTACAATAATTTTTTTTCTACCTGCGTAAAATTTAAGCTACTTATATACGGCCCATACAGCTTCAGTGCCAGATCCATATAGCCTTGTGTCTGGAATGAAATGGGTCCTTGGACGTTATGGAAGCTTGGAACTTATTTATTTAATAAACAATTAAGTTTTATAGACAAAAATAACAAAATTGTATTTCGAAAACGTTGTAGGATAGTATGGTCACTTTTCAAAGCACATTGTCATCGAAACATGCATATTCTAATGCATAAAACAAATTCATTCATACAGCCCCAGATTACCCTACTGTATTTAAA